AGGTCTGTATGTCCCTGCAAACCCCATCCCAGTTTTGTCCAGTGACCACACTAACTCTGCAGAGTGAGTTGGGCTGTGCTGCATGGTTCTTGTCAGTCTATCCTAAACTGCTCGTGTCCCCGCCCAGCTATTACTGCACATTATTACCTCATGCAATTCTCCCCCAGAGAGTGAAAACCACACGTTCCAGAGATTAACCTGCCATCAGAAAGCAGGAAAACAGAATGTGCCACAATATGCTCCGGAGCAATTTTCATAGCTGTTTCTTAGGAAGCAGCTGCACTGCTCCTAATCTCAACTTTTTAACTTCCTCGCTGGGTCACCAATTACTTAAACACAGATGAAGCTCAAGATGGGCTGATTTCAGCACATTCTGACCCCCTGTAAATCAGGAGTGACTACATGTCCATTTGGTTCCTCACATAAATTACTCCAATCTTTTGCCAGTTGCCCCAAAGAGCAAGAACAGCAGCTGGGATTTACCAAAAAAATACAGCCAAGGTTCATTTCCTTTTCTTTGGAAAGAACCTCCATGATCTTAAGGTTTTTTTCCAGTCTAACTGACTCTGTGAACTCCTTCAGCCACAGCCCAGAGCTGCAGGAAACAGCACACAGAAGCACCTTGTGATGGTAACATGACAAAAGCCAAAGCCAGGTAGGCTGCTCTGGGCAGAGCTTTGTACAGTGCAGAGCACAACCCACTCAGGTCTGCACAACATTATGGTTCTGCCACATGCAACAACAGACACTCAAAACAATCACATACACAGAGTGGGTTGGGTTTTTTTTCCAAAACCACAGAAAACACTTAAGTCTTACACTGCCTCTCCCCATTATTAAATCACTGCCCTTGCTGCTAATTTTCCCCCTTGTTTCCAAAGACATTTTAACTCTGCAATCTAAGCCTGGAAAGTTTATTTTTAAACCTGCTAGTATCTAGCTGCAAATAACTTTCCGCAAATAGACACGCCTCGAGGGGCCACAGATCGATCGCCTGATCCAGTGAAAAACACGAAGAAAAAGGAAAGAAACGTGGAGTGTCAAACCTGGGCCTGCTGGAAGGCCTTCAGCCGTCGCTTGAACCGAGATGGAAGAACAAAGTCACAGCCCTTGGCAAGGAAAGCTAGCTCCCCTCCCAGGTCTGGGTCCCTGCGCAGAGAGCTCTCCTTGATCATCATCCTGGGCAGCTCCCAAGCAGATGTTGACCTTCCCGGAAGGGGCACGGGGACTCTGGAGGAGACCACGGCAAGACCAACACGTTGCTTTCTTGGTTTTGGTTTTTTATAAGCAAAAAATGGCAAATGGCTTCAACATACTGTGTCTTCTCTCTCTTCACAAGGACAACACATCTAATGATTTTATCCCACTCCTAAAGCCAAAGCTCCCTATTTTAACCAATATTCACAGTATCTTTCAGTACCACCGGGACCTTCTGCCTTCTTGTAATACTTTAATTGAGAAACATGATCTACGACCAAATCTATTTCCCTGCTGGCTACATGACAGACAATCTGTCCTTGGCTTGCAATAGGCCAGGGCTAACACGGGAAAGGAAGCACCCACCACCACTACCACCAAGGGCACTAAAATTAGATGCGCTGCAGAGGTGGCTAAATATACCACGTCCCCCAGCAGTCCTCACTGTGTGCTGAAACCCGAGGTGCACACTGGCACTCAGACCGAGCCGGAGCTACCCATGCTGGGCCAGGCCCTGTGTGCAGGGTGGCAGTGGTTTGAGGGCTCTGTTGATGAGGTGATGCAGCAGAGCATCACTAGTCCAGAACGAAGGCTGTAATTTTCAAAACCCATCAATTTTTCCTTCTTGTTTGGAAAAACCAAATCATCTAGTTACTCTAGTGCCAAGCAAGCACATAAGGATGGTTTTGGATAAGCTCAGGCATTCTAAAGCAGTTCTAAAGAAAACTGTTTCATAATGACCCTAAAATGCATCACTCCTATTACTCAGTTTCCCTGTCACTCTCTCAAGGCAAAGGCAAAGCAGTTGTCAGTGGACAATAGTCTACTCTTTCTCGGCAAGACTCTGAGTAAGTAGACTTCAAAATCCTCAGACTCTGTCTAGGCCAGTCAAAAGTGTGTTCTCTCTCTCCCATCACAGAAGCAGCACTGAGCCCCATGGCCTGCTCTCTCTGTTGACTTCACAAGCCCCAGATATTTTGCTAGTTTACTAAGTTAAGAAGCACAGAAATACTTCCAATTTCTAGCTAGTAAGGCTTGCTCTTATCAAGGTGTCACATGTGACGTGAAAAGGTCTCACTGAGCCTCACAAACAGAAAGCTCTTATTGGACAAGTGCCTCTGATGTCCTTTTAATGTTTTCCTGTGGAGATCCAAGTTAATACAAACACAGCACCACTTGATGGACTACAGACAGACAGACCAACCATCCTGCCAGCATCGACTGAACTGAAGCACTCAGCCAACCTGTACAGGTGGCAGGACAAGGGCACAGAGTGGGCAGGGTCAAAAACATCCACCACTGACTTCTCTCTCCAAGGACTTCACAGAAGACAACATTTTACTCAGCAGACTTTACCTTCCAAAATCCCTGACACTCAGCACTCCAACAGCCCCATCACCTCCCTCAGTATTCACCAGCTGTAGTTTCTGCCTTTTCCCTCACACCTGCCAGTGCACTCAGGATCCTTATTGCCCTCTCAGCTACAGACAATACCACAGATAAGCATCCGGAGGGTTTGCTAGCCTCGAAGAGACAACTGCATTGTTTTAACGGAACTATGTATTTAAAAACAAACATACTAAAACATCAGCTTAAGACAAGCACAAAGAACAGGAAATTTCAAACAAATAGTTGGGAGGCTTAGAGATAAGCAGCGGAAAACTGGATCTCAGAATGGGAAGTGTTGGACAGTCTAGAAGTATGCAATGCTTCCTGGCCTGCCCAAAAGGAGCTCTGATGCCCTTATTATGTGCTCCTAATATTGATGGACTCCTTGAGTATTCATTTCCTAGTTTCTAAATATTTGGGTTTTGAAGATGAAGAGGCAAGTAATCCTATTGTTCTCCATGGAGGATCATAACTGGGTTTATGATAAAGGGAAAGTCTGTTGCTGACATAATTCAGCACAGATTTAACACAGATAGACCAGCTGAGCCGGGAACAGTCTGGCCTGAAGTGGCTCTCCCTCTTTGAGTGCTGTGGGTCTGAGGAATATTAAAACTGTCACAGCCCTCAGCGATGCAAGCTGTGCTGTGCTTCCATGGGTAGCAGAGCTCTGGGGTTTCCATGCCTGTGCACAACCGTTTGACAACGTATAAGCCCCAAGAGAACACAACAGATACTCTGCACATTCATTCAGGCACACATGTGCCATCCTGCATCAGGGTCCACACGGAGCTCCAGCCACATCCAGAGTGATCCAGGAACACGGATGTATTCCCCAGATGTTACACCTAGAGAGGGCCCTGTGTCCACAGCAAATGTGTGCCCACCTCTGTGCTACAAATGGCAGCAAACCCCAGGGCAGGGGCAGAGCCAGCAAGTGACTCCTGGCTGTGCTGCCAAGGGCCAGCTCCCTCCCAAGGGGCCCAGCTGCACCCACAGGGTGCAGAGCTCAGCCCAGGCCCTGCCAGCTCCTCTGGCTCCTCCTGGGACCTTTGGTTCTGGGTATCTACACAAAGTGAGGCTTGTGCTGCCGCATGGAAGAGAAGAGCTGTGGTAGTGTGGTGCAGGATACCTGTGCCTGGCTGGGAGTAAACCAGCACACAGGCCAGCTGGGATCAGGGCAACCAAAGCTGGCAAAGGACCAGGCTGATAAGCCATTTGACAGTGTAAACACATTCAGTTTTCAAATATTATGTGAAATCTGCCACACAGTCACACTTTATCAAACACATTTTCCTTTGAAGTTCACAAGTGAGCAAATTTTGTAAATTAATATACAAGGCAAGAATAGCTATTACAAGAGATCATTTTAGAGCTCTTGGAGCTGTTTAATTCTACACACTCTGAGGAAAAAGCCT